AGTTTTATTTGTGTTTATCCTGCTTGCAGCTTGTTGAGCTTATTGAACCTATAAATTAATGTTTTCATCCAATTTGGGAAGTTTTATGCTATTATTCCTTCAGATATTTTTTCGGGTCTATTTTTTCTCTACCCTCCTCCTGGCACCACAATGCATGTATATCAGACTGCTTGATATTTTCCTATAATTCACTCAGGCTCTGTTGATTGGTTTTTAATCTTTATTCTGTTTTTCACATGAACAATTCTTACTGATATGAGTTTAAGTTTACTAATTATTTTGTAGTTTCTACTCTTCATTTATTGCAAATGTTACATTTTTCAGTTCCAAAGTGTTTATCTGGTTATTCTTATAGGTTTCCATTACCCTGCTGAGATTCTCCTTCTTTTCAGTCATGATGACTATGTTTTCCTTTATATCCTTGGACATGTTAGAGTAATTGCTTTACAACTCTTGTCTGAAAATTCTAATATCTAGGTCACCTCAGGGTCTATTACAGTGGCTATTCTTTCTCCTAATTATGGATCCCATTTTCCTACTCATTGAAAAAAAAATTTTGGTTAATGAACATTGTAAATTTCATGTTTTAGAGATTCTAAATTCTCTTTTCTTCTTTTAAACAGTGTTGATTTTGTTGTTGTTGTTGTTCTATCAGGCTACAAAATTTTTAGCTGATTAGCTTCAACTTGTGGATACTTAGTGTTATACTTTGTTAGGAAGAATCTGCTTTGGTTTTGCCCTTAATGTTAGTGTGACTCCTTTGAAGGCACACCCTTCTAAGGTTTCAATAGAAAATCTGCAGCATTTACCAAGCCCCTGTAACTTGGGTGGGATTCAAATTCTGAACTTTGTAGGCAGTAGCTGTCAGCAGTAGGCAGCAGCTGAAATCTCTGCTCAGCATTTTTGGCTTTCTAGTTATTGTTTTCCACTAGGCTCATTGGCATACTCCCCACACATATGCAGTTTATGGGTTATTCAAGGATTGACGGAAATTTGTATACAGAATGGAGGGCTCTCTTCTTTATGGCTCTTTTCTTTCTGTGACTTACTCAATTTTCAGCCACTCTGGAAGCCCTGAACTCTATATCCTGAGACCTCAAGCTATTGCAGCTGTGGCTTCCTCCTTGAGTTCTAATAGTTCTTTGTGGACCAGGGCATGCCCTCATAGGAGAAGCTATAGAAATGTAGCTCTCCCTCAGTCCAGTGACCCTCTCAAGGATCAAATTTTCTACATTCTCTGCCTTCTTTTAGTTAGATTACAAACAGCTTTTTTTAACAAAAGTATTTTGTCCTGAGTTTATAACAGCTATCTGCAGGAGAGTTAATCCAAGATAAGTTCTTCCATCATTAATATAACTAGAAGTCTGTCAAAGACATTTTAATTTATGTTTTTGTGTGTACTTACATGTTAAATCGCTTTCATCTTCCTGCATGTTCATAGGATCATTAAGTAATATATACTGAAGGGTTCCTCAGGTGTTGTCCAGACTATGTTGTACTGCCAGTCATTGACCATCTGAAACCAATCATGAGTGATCTTCTGTTTTTAAAGGAGGCCATGAAGAAAGACGTTTCCTTAGGAAACGTCTCTTCTGTTTGGAGACACTCAACCTTGTATTAGAATTTAAGCCCATATAATGGCTTTAGTGACTCAGGGTCATAGAGTTATACAGACAGAGGGATGTACAGGCCTTAATGAAGCCATGTTTGTTCCACCACACCATGAATATGGAAGAGGCATCTTTCCTAGTGCCCTGTGCTTCCTAGCCCTGTTTTCTTTGCTCTGCTCCACTCCTTCAGCTGCCACGGAGCCCATCATGTTTCATGTTGTACTTAGGCTGTCTCCCCTTTTCCCATTTTCAGACATCTACGTGCCCCCGGTTCTGTTTACCTGGCTTTGGAATCATTCTGATACTCTGCCCCTTAATGTTATGGGCCAAACTATTTATTCCCAAAATTCTTATGTTGAAATCCTAACTTCAGTGCCTCAGAATGTGACCTTATTTAGAGACAGGGTCTTTACAGAGTTAATCAAGTTAAAATGAGGTCATTAGAGTGAGCCCTAATCCAATATGACTGCTGACTTTATATAAACAGACAGAGAGATAGACATGCACAGAGAGATGATGACATGAGGACACATAGGGAGGAGACGGTCACTGACAAGCAAGGAGAGAGGCCTGGAATGGCACCTCTCTTTATATCTTCCAGAAGCAACCAACCCAGCTGACACCCTGACTGGGACTTCCAGTCTTCAGAACCATGAGAAAATAAATTTGTTATTTTTGCCACTTACTTGCTGGTACTTTGTTCCGGCAGCCCTGCCAAACTAATATGCATACTTCTTAACAAATCCTCTACTCCCAATTTTTCTACTTGATTGCCACTCATGGCTTTGCTTTGTCTCTTGAGACCCACACTCCCTTTAGTATGGAAAATGGGCAAAAATCAGAAAGCTCATGCTCTAACTCCTTACTTAAATGGAATGACTTATTTTTTTTTTGAGGCAGAGTCTCACTCTGTTGCCCAGGCTGAAGTATGGTGGCACGATTTCAGCTCACTGCAACCTATGCCTCCCAGGTTCAAGTGATTCTCCTGCCCCAGCCTCCTGAGTAGCTGGCTTTACAGGCACATTACACCATACCCAACTAATTTTTGTATTTTTAGTAGAGATGGGTTTTTGCCATGTTGGCCAGGTTGGTTTCAAACTCCTGACCTCAGGTGATCCATTCACTTTGGTGGCCTCCCAAAGTGCTGGGATATCGGTGCGAACCACCATGCCTGGCCTGAAATGAGCTTTCTGGTCCTCAGATTCCTTATCCATAACATGGGGATATTGTCTGTATTCTACCTACCTAAAAAAGCTCAAATAGACACTGCATGTAAGAATGTAAAATGCTACACAATCAAAGGCATCCTGAATCTCACTCTTCATCCGTAACGTACTGTACCTCACACCCAATTATAACAGAACCTCTTTTAGAGGTCTCTTGAGCGGTTTCAAGTTCAGAATTCTCCACTTTTAAGAGAGATGACTGCAACCTGCTATTTCTAGTTTAAGACGCAGGTGCCTAAGAAACTGCTTTGCTCAAAGAGGCAGGAACATGCGGTGATGCTTCTAGCACCTATTGTTTTTATATTTCCAGAGGTTTTAAAAGTAATTCCTCAGACAACTTACCTATTTTTCATAGATGTTGTAAGAACTAAGGTACAGAGTAAAGCAAGCCAATGCTTTTAGGGAAAAAACTTTTTATTTTTCTATTTATTATTTGTGAGACAGGGTCTCACTCTTGTCACCCAGGCTGGAGTACAGTGGCATGATCTTGGGTTTAAGCCATTCTTGTGCCTCAGCCTCCCAAGTAGCTGGGGTTTCAGGGGTGTGCCACCACACCTGGCTAACTTTTGTATTTTTAGTAGAGATGAGGTTTTGCCACGTTGGCCAGGCTTGTCTCAAACTCCTGGCCTCAAATGATCCACCTGCCTCGGCCTCACAAAGTATTGGGATTACAGGCATGAGCCACTGAGCCCAGCTGGGAACAGATGTTTTAGAAATACATAAGGGAAGGAGAACTTTAAAAGCATATCCAACTGCCTTAACAGAATGGGTGCCTACTGAATGTGCTTTTAAAATATGTAAAATTAAATGTAGGATGCTAGTCACTTTCCAACATACTTCATATGTTCCACTGTCTATCTTTAAAATAATTTTGTTATTTAGAATTTGAAAAAAATTGTTTCTATAATAATTAAAATTTTATAAAATAATTTATTAGAAAATACAACTTCCCCCAAATAGCTTACATCCTGGTCGCATGAATTTTTATGCAGTTTCAAGTTTTACTCAAAATAATGGAATTGCCAATGATTCTACCCTTTTCAGTTCTCTAGAATGCCTCCAGATGGCATTAAAAGCCTTTCCCATTATATTTTACAACACACAAAAAATTAAAAATTAGTAGTATTTTAGCCATTTAAGACCAGCCACATTCATTATATCACCTGAAAGCAGGACAATGGAACTATTTAGAACATTTAGTTAAGTATCTTAAGAAAGACAAACATATAATCATGTCTCTTATGAAATATATAGCTGTCCAATTCAAGCCAAAAAAATCTTTCTAGACTAAGAAACAGATTTTAGACAAAATAAGACACACGATATTTTACCACAAAGTGATTTCTAATCAACGGTACTTAGAAAATGCTTAGTAATAAGAACACTGATCCCCATACAGATAAATTCACAAAGCCTGTCACAATACAAAAACACATGTCACTGCTCCTAAGCGATACAAATAAAGATTTTTAAGGAACAAATCTGTTACCAACTCTTACGGAGCTAAAATAAAGTCACTTGCTAGCTCATGAATTTTTTAATTTAAATGTTAGTATATCAATTTGGCATCAAATTAATCAGTAAAAATATACTTAGATTTCTTGAATATTGAGAACAAACAGACAAAACACCGAGTGAGGAACACATGTTTTATAAGGGCCTTTGCTTATCTTTATAAAACTGTTTTTGTTAATTCGAAAATACCAACAAACTCTTGAGATTCCAGAGATATTTATAATTGTACTTGTCACATAATTCCAAGGTGAGGTTGCAGAGGGCAAGCTTCTGAAATGCCCTTGTTACTGCACAGCTGTGTGGAACAGCATACCTCCCAGTTTAAGTGCGAAAGTTCTGCAATTCTTAAGATGGTGTTGAAAGTCTCCAACCAAATCCCCACAGCATACATGCTCAAATCTCATTACATTTCTACTTCATAAAGAGAAGCATTTGCATTTTTCAATATTTCTCTTACTTTGCTAAAGCATAAAAAAGACCTCAAAATGCATCTGCACCCAAAGTATTTAAAGAGACATTATCATGAGCAAAGAGAACCATGGGCCTCCTTCCATCATCATTAATACTATTACAAGATACTCACACTATCTCATTTTATAAGGCATATTTAAGAACGGGCATCTCTGATAGAAAAACGAAAGAGACTTACGATGTATTCGATGTGCCATTGTCTGGACTCTCTGGCTCTGCATCACCTTTCTCTTAAAAAGGAAGCAGAAAAAAATACAGACATATGAATCTTATAGTCTTTAAGATTTAAGAGAGATTAAATACATTTCCATGCTCCTATTAACAATCTTTCAAAATGTGTAGCAGGAGGCTTTTAAAACATCTTTTATTGTCTGAGAACTGAATTTGCAAAATAATATCTTCTCTGCAATGCAATTGCCCAGGCACAGATCTGTGAGTAGGTACTAAAGAGCTATTTGCAAACAACCAGAGGCTTGGAGTGGAGACCTTGCCAGAAGATGAGTATCTTACAGATGGAACCTGTTTTCTTCCACTTCACTTTACAGAAAATTTCAGGAGATAAATCCATTGGCATTCTATATTCAAGGCACTTTGAACTTTGATTGCTTCCACTAACACAAGCCAAACCAGGTCAGGCTGAATCAGAACTTGGAGGATAATTTTTTTTTTTTGAGAGTGCAGTGCTGCAATATCAGCTCACTGCAACCTCTACCTCCCAGGTTCAAGTGATTCTCCTGCCTCAGCCTCCCGAGTAGCTGGAGCTATAGACACCTGCCACTACACTCAGCTAACTGTTAAATTTTTAGTAGAGATGGGGGTTTTCACCATGTTGCCCAGGCTGGTCTCGAATCCTGACCTCAAGTGATCTGCCCGCCTTGGCCTTCCAAAGTACTGGGATTATAGGTGTGAACCACTGGACCTGGCCAGGAGGAGAGAAATTTTACAAAACACTGAGGTTGCACTGTATGTTCCAAGATCCCAGTTTTATATCCCATGGAGTGCCCTGGTCACAGGTTTTGGGATCCCTAGCTTAAAGAAGAATGAGATGTAAACTAGAAATCCTTTCTGACTATCTGAAAGGCTAAAGACATGCTTCTGCGGGCTGTGATCATTGAGGAACTAATGAGCTGTACGTAGTTGAGGGAGCTTGGAACCAGTTCACTTCTTGTAGTTTGCAGTAGGCATAATGTAATTCCGAGTCCTTAATCAACTGGTGGTTTGAACCATGCATCCTCATTTTCTAAGGAGTTTCTTTATATTTCTTTGAGACTCGTAGATGGAAGAAGTAACTTATAACTGAGCATGTCAGCTTGTGTGTTTCCTGACGGTTGTGCAGAGCTAATACACCCCAGAGAAGGCTGTGACTTGCAGGAAATAGGTTTGTGGTAGTAACTTGCTTTGCTGTGCTCTTTCAAGTCAGGCCTGGAGATCTCTAGAATATCTTGGTCTACTGCTCAGGTCCTTGGGCCCACGCATTGTGCCATACCCCTTTTGTCAGCTGTCAACGCTAGTTTGTGGTCATTTAGTCCCAGGAATGACTCCCTAAATTACATGTGAACATATCCTGAAGGCACTGCCCAAATGAAACGCAAAAGCAAACTTTCTATTTTCTCTTCTTTTTCTTATAGGAACAAACAGTTGTGAGGAAAATAAAACACAGTTTCTATCGTTTGTACATCTGTCTCAGTCACAACCCTGTGTTACCCAGTGCCCAAAAGCTGGGTCAGATGAGGGGAAAAATAAAAAAGCCACAAAATCGATTTTAACTGCCTTGATAACAAACATGGCAGACAGGGCCTCAATACATATAAAACCATGTTGGAATAAAGGCTAAAGTAGCAAATTAATAGACTTGCTTTAAAGTTCATTCTCATGTATTTTGTCTTCCAGGCAAGGTCTGTGATGTGCTCATTTAGGAGGCAAGTAAGGCCTGCCCAACTGGCTTCAGTGCTGGAAAATCATTTAGTGCTTTGCAGAAACATTTTTTTCCATGGCCTAACCACAGTCTCTTCCATAATTCTAAAACAGAAAGTGACAACACCTGCATTACAGAAGACAAAACTAAATGGAAGTATATTTTTCTCAAATATACGGATCCTTTCCCCCAACCTCCTTGAATCTGGTGGAAGTGGTTACTTTCCCTCGTCTGTAGCCTCCAGTAGTCACCACATCCCATCTCAATGAAGGACGTAAAACAGGAGGCTTGGAAGGAGCAGGCAATGGTAAAATTCCCAAACAATTTATGTCAGAAAACAGGAAATTGAAAATAAAAACGAAGGCACTGTTTGGATATTTGAAGAAATATGTTTGGCCTTGACCAATAACGCTGCCTGAGTCTTGGGCTGGCTTCAGAACAGGGACAGAGCCGCAGCTGATTATCTTTGCTTGTAGCAGCTCTTATGTTGTGGCAACAGGGCAAACAGAATAGGTTCTGGCAAATAGGAAGGATACAGTGGGGCCAAACAGGACATGGTGAACAGTCTGAGAGGAAGTGTTCTCAGCAACTTCAGTGCTGACAATGAATTTGCCTTTCTGCAGGGAGAAAAGCAAGCTGGTCAGGACTGAGATGGGGTTAAAACTATTTTCATCCTTCAGAAAGAATAAAGCACAAAATTTTCCCCAACATCTTGAAATTTTTGGTGATGCAATTTCTGAAGTTAACTCGAAATGTTTAAGTGTATACACCATTGGAAATATGGTCTCTTTGTTAGGACCCAAGGGAAAATGATGAATGTAAGCTGGAACATTATAGAACATAAGTACAATTTTTTTTTTTTTTTTTTAGTTGGGTACTCAGGAGATGTTTTCCACCCCCATCTCTACCCAAAGAGGGCTGTCCAGGGTCCTCCTGCTTGTGTCAGCTGTTTTCATGATGGATACCACACTGGTCTCTTTGGGAGGGAACCTGCACTGGTCATGTATAAGCTGGACATGAGACTGACTTGGGTGCAGTGAAGCCATTTTACATGTGGAAATATAATTACAGAGAGGAAGGGGTAAAAATGAGCCCAAGAAATAACTATATATGCAAATGAATATGTATATATGTAAATATATGTGTCTATGTGTATTACACACTTTGAATTTGACAGTCTGTATTTGTCTGCCTGGGCCTTCCACAGTGCCTAACATACATTAGGTGGTCAGTATAAGTCTCCTGTTCAGATCATCTGTCAGTAATACAGAATCCTATGCTGCAGTGGAAAAAGATGCTTAAGGTACCCACACCAGTAAGATGGAATATACAGTCTGAGGTATGAAACAGCTTGCTGACTCCAATAGGTCACTTAAAAAAATTGTATCAGTTACCTTTTTAACTCAACGTAGTGAGGACTTCTATGTTGGGTGCTCTGTTGAGCATAAAGATAAATAATAAGGAATTCACGCTCTTTAAACATTTAAATGGACTGCACTGCTGGAGTATCTTGCTTTCCATCCATAGTGTCATACAGGGACTAAATATGCTTTTTGAAAAGGAAAATCAAAACAAACCTGCATTACACTGAATTCTGCAGAGCAAAGTTTTGCCATACCGCATTTCTACAGTTATATTAAAAACAATCCATGTTTATCGTAAAAAAAATAATCAGAAAAGAAAAGGTAATGACTTTGCTTGCTTTCATTTTAAATTGTATTAGCCCTTCAATCATTACTTTAAGTGATTTTTTTTCTTTTGAGATGGAGTCTCAGTCTGTTGCCCAGGCAAGGGGAGTGCAGTGGCATGATCAGCTCACTGCAACCTCTGCCTCCTGGGTGATCTCAAATCATTCTCCTGACTCAGCCTCCCAAGTAGCTGGGATTATAGGTGTGTGCCACCACACCTGACTAATTCTGGTATTTTTAGTAGAGACAGGGTTTTACCATGTTGGCCAGGCTGCTCTTGAACCCTTGGCCTCAAGTAATCCACCCTTTTTGGCCTCTCAAAGTGCTGGGATTACAGGTGTGAGTTACTGCACCCAGTTGATGTGTTTTTATTTCTAGATGTCCCAACTTTAGAGAGTGCCTAATGACTTCTGATATGAAAGACAGGAGGCAAGGTATTTAATATTTTCCCCCCTCCCCTCCCCTTGTAATTTTTATTAGTTCTGTTATTACTTTTAGTGCCTCTAGTGGGTATTTGTAACTTTAAATACATTTAATCTTATTTTTTGTGATTAATCAACTTCTGACAGTATCTTTTCTTTTATAACATGTAAAATGAGGAAACTCACTCATCTATCTTTCCCTCCCACCTCCCCACTCACAGCTGTACCTTTCATTTTATATCGCCAAGATTGAAAATGTTTATATTCTGTTCAGTAATTATTGAGTCATCCTCCTTAATATTAATTTAGTTAATAATTTAATTTTTGGTCTTGCCTATAGGTCAAATAAAAAATTATAAACTAATAATGAGAATTTGTAATATTGTGACAATATAAATATTAGTCGCTAAAGAACAAGGCAGTCTGAGTAGACCTGAACAGAAGGAAATGTCACTAACATGGAATGAGTGCAAATGCTCCCAGCATTTATGTCAAATGAATTCCTACTGTTATATTCCACCACGTCACAGGTTTCTCTCAAGTTAAGGTTATGTTCTCCCTAAAATGCTGTTAAATAGGGCATGCATTTAGTGAACATAAAATGTATATTTACATGAAATGTATGTAGACACTTTCCAAGCATTACAATGAATGAACTGTGAAGACACCTTCCAGGCAGCCAGGGATGGAATACCATCAAAAGCGTCTAGACCGGCTCCCATCTCTTCCCATCCTTCCCACCAGCTATTGGCAAAGTAACCGTGTGTCAATCATTCTCTTCATTTTCTGGAGAGTTTTTTTCTTTTTAACCATCTATTATGTATTAATAAATTAACTATTTTGTGGTCATTGTTGTTTCTAAACTTCATATGACTATAATCATACCTAGGCATTCTTCTGAGACTCACTTCTGTTACACAGTGTTAGGAATTTAAGATTTAGCCATCATCCTGCATGTAGCTACAGTTTGTTCATTCTCACTGCTGTGCAATATTTTACTGCACAAATATACCAGAGTTTTTTATTTGTTCTACCCTGATGGACATTTAGATTTTTTCCATTATAAACAATGCAATTGCAAAAATTCACGAACACCATTCCTCATGCACACGTTAGGAGTTCTTGGCCTTAAGATTTCCATATGGTCAACTTCAGCAAGGAATCCAAAACTGATTTCCGAATTAACACTCCCCAGATGGTATATG